ATTTAAAGCACATAATATGACAAAGGGTTAAAATTCAGCTACCCATTCTACCCCAATGCCCTCAAAGTTGAAAATCATTTGTCAGTTTAAGAATTCTACCAGTCCTATGCCAAGGAACTAAAACATAGCAATGAGAACACTGAACTATTGTCTTCAGAAGATATGAATTCCTTAATCACCTTCACTTACCCAGTTTTGCTTGCCTGTTTAAAAAACTCTTCAGATGATTCAGAACCTGAAAACAAATCAGCTGTTACTCTGGTTGGAATGATTCAGAGAAAGGTGACTTGCTAGAGTCAGTGTTTATCATCACATGCAGGCCTAGTTCTTTTTAGAGGTAGATGCTTTCAACTTTTATCAGATGAAATCAAGTTCAATCATAAAGTATTTCACCTAATTATAATGATTTCTGTGTAGAAATATCAACATGCCTCCAGCATAAAATTCTCTTTAAATACAGTGACTGGTAACAGAGAGCTACCAGGAGTTATTTAGCTAAAAGTTAGTGTCTAATTTCTACATTTATACATGACACAGCTGCTATTGCATTTTACATAAAATCAACTAGTGTGGATCTACAACAGATCTTACCCAACTCCACATAAACCCCTTTCTGAGAGTCACATTTCTGGGGGTTGTTTCTGAGGCGACACCTTTTGACCCTGGTATCTGTAAGCTGAGTATTCCCAGTAGTTTCCTGCTGACAGGAGAACAGAAATAAAGTTATTTATAACAGTAGGCTACTTAAAAAAAACTCACTTGTAATTATTTAAACCATAGCAGGAAGGGCTGATAGAAATACTCTGTCATATGAATTGGTGGCCTCTATGCAAAAATACACAAGTAGTTTATTATATTGATATCAGTCATGGAATGTGTCAATAGAAACAATTATCATGCATCTGACAGATCAAAACATTAACAGTTTGATCTTACATTCTGTATTATCCAACATCCTGTTCAGCATCAAGCAGGTGAGAACCAAAACAGTCACACACACAGAACAATCACCCCAAGCTGAGTAATGCCTTAAGTACCCCAAGACATAATCTCACCACTAAAAAAATAAAACCCCTACAAAGAGTTAGACAGCCTCATGAAACAAGCCTAGTTTCAGTAACAGACTGTAATATGGAAATATCACCTATAAGTTCAGGTTCTTTATGCAAATGTCTTTTTCAAGTAGGTAGGAAGACAAAAATATGTAAATGTCCCTGTCCAGAGTATTAATCAAGTCAAACAGCAATCTCAGAGCAACCCAAAACCTCCTACTTCATTCATTTATGTATTTGCATCAATATACATTCCAAATAAACTTCTAAACAACCCAGGAAAATAAAATGGGAAAAAACAATTACCAAAGTGGTGTTTTCTTGTCCATTTTCTTTAGCACTTTTTCTCCTGTTTCTGAAGCCCTTACTTTGAATGACAGAACTTTCTTTACACAGGAGCTCAGCAGCAGTGGCTTCCGTGGGTGTTTTACGAACGTGATGACTCTTTAAAACTGAAAAATGTTAAGGGAGGGGAAAAAAAAAAAGTAATTTTCACACTGAGTATGACACAGCTTTATATATTAATGAAATAGCCTTGCACAGACCCTGTGCAGTTAGTGTATATATGGCTGCAGTACAATTATCAAAGAAAGAAATCTCATTGAATTATTAGTCTGATTGTTTTTTCTGAGTTTTCTTAAAATTTTAAGTAAAATCTTGATCTTGCCAACTATCAACCAATTTTGCTTATATAGATAACCTAGCAAGAACAGGATCTAACACTACTGATTTTAGAATGGCTGAGCAAGTTGAGAAGAACTTGAAAACAAAGTATCTTTCACAGCACAATACACAAAACCCCACCCCAAACAAAAGTCAGTAACCACCATCTGCCCCCAACCAGAACGTCTTGTCTATCAAAATATAAACAGGCACATGTCTGACTTGCCAATGCCCTTTACAAGGCACTTAGTACTAAAAAGAATAAATTTGGATTCCCAAAGGATCTATCTGAACAAGACAGGTTAACATATGTGGCTAATTAGCATCTGCTAATTCAGGCTCTGAGATTGTTTAACAAGTTAAAGCTGCAAGGCTGGGCATCATCAAGAGCAGAACTTCACCTTACAATTACAGATAAAACATTTGTTACATGTTCAGCCACATTTCAGAAACTGAACATAAGACTGGGTGGAGTCATCAAACACACAGTAAAACTGTTTAGGAGGTTTTTTTAAAAATGTCTTGGAAACTTAATGGAACTTATGCTTCTACACCCAAGAAAAAAAAACCTTTTGATAATTCTTCCCATGTTTAGTATTGCATATTAAATGGGATACCTTGTAAACAATTGTGATATAAATGTCAAAACCTTATTGAAAAAAAAAAGTTGGGGGCATACATTCACACCACTTACACTTCACTCCAGTGTCAAGCTCAAAAGCATGGATAGTTTCCAACAATCCTTCAATTAGTTGCTTAAATCTGGAATTTTCTTTCAGACTTCTGAAATAATATCAGAACTTGAGTTGTTTTAAGACAAATGACTGTAAATACTTCTCTTAGAATTTAGGCTGAACAAAACAAAGGGTAAAACTCTAAAGTGTAAGATGAGACAATGAGAAATTGTTGCTAAGAAATAACACAGTTCCCCCAAACAACCACTACCATGTGAATTAAAACTATCACAGAAGTGAACATTTCATATTTTTCCCCATGTAGGTTTAGTAGAGCTGTAATGATTGAACACTAATACAGCACAAACATTTGTGAAGAGAGGGGTGTTCCCCTGCAATCACTTGGAAAAAGCTTACACTGAGGTAAGGTACTACAGCTACTCCTTTAGACATAGGCAGTTTATTTAATAACCACCTTTTCTTCTTTATTTTAGTCTTATGCTGAGACATTTTAAGACAACTGTTAGCCTTTCCTCACAGCTCAAACCTCTCATTCTCAAGTCCCCTTACAAAGACAGGTTTCCCACCTCTTGGTAACTTCAGTCTTACACAGAGGACACTGTATCACACCTTTTTTCTTCTTGCTGAGAAGTTTGAACATGCAGAACCTAGGAAAAAATAAAAGTCTTGATAGTAACAAAAGGAGATTATTTTTCTTAAAACTGAACATGCACATTCATGACTTAGTAGAAATCCTTTGTTATCAAGTTTTACTTTTGTTCTGATTTTACAGTGGGTTCATTGATCCCCTTTGACACACCTGGGAAGCTGCAGTTCTCTCTCCTGCTGAACTGATTTTTCCTCTAAAGTAGCTACACAAGAAGTTCCCAAAACACAGTATAAACAGAGGATTAGCACTAAAGAAGCATACATGGAAATTAAAAACAGATTGACTAAGTATTGCACTCTTCAAACCTACCTGCAGAATATGTGATCACATTTTGTTGAAACTGGCTCTTGTACCACATCCAAGCTACAAAAAGAAAAATGAAAACAAGTGCACAGAAGTTACAGACACTGCAGGGATCCATCCTCTAAGTAGAACCTTTGCTATTTCAGCATCTGTTTGCTGAACTACAGACCTCACTCACTTTTCAGAGACAGAGGGCAAAGATCCACACTGTTTTACAAACAATACTCTAATCCAATCAGATAATGTTTTTCCCTCTCTGGACAGAGAGTTGACATATTTAGTTCGTAAGAGAAAAACAAAATTTACTAGAAGGTAAAAGCAAAATATACGTTCTGCCTTAGACTTTGTCACTTTAGCCTTACAAAACATCAATATACGTAGTCTTCAGCAAGAATCCCTTTGATTTCTCATAAGTCACTGAACTTACAAACCATTTGCAAAGAAAGGGGGGGAAAAAATAAAACCCAAAACCACTCGTTAACCATACTGGTATTACTGCCGGGCATACCATATTGGGCACTCCAAGTTCTTCTGCATAGCTGAAAGCACATTTTGCACATGGCCAACAGTGACCACTGAGAAGTCCATCCTTCCCGTCCAATAATAGTCTAGAGAAAATAAATAAATAATAATCAGCTTTGTTTCTGCTCTGCTGCATCCCGTGACCGTCTCCTCCCCCGTGGCTCTCCCCAACTTGTGGAATGGTATCAAATACCTCGCTACTACTTCTTGAGTAAGAGTTTACGAGTTCTTACTCCGAATGCTGACAGTTAAAGCCTCTCAAGTGTCCTGTAGCCAAAGGAGAGACCGGAAGGGGTTTGCTGCGGCTTTCAGAAGAAACTCTGGGCGCAGAGCACAAAACAGCGGAAAAAGGGGGCGTTCTAGGTGGAAAAGGATGCAGAGGACGCGGCAGACGTGCTTATGCAAAGGACCCTGGGCCTACCTACAGGAGCCAGCAGAGGTGAGACCCCGAATCAGACACCGCAAGTACCTGAAAACAAAAAGAAACCATAAGAGCTTACCGCGGCGGCAGCTCGCGGGCCGGGGGGGCCTTTGCAGTAAGGCCTGTCCGCAGGCCGATGCGAAGCGTCCCAGCACCCAGCTCCTTGCACTCACTCTGACCGCCCGCCCGCCAGCCCGAGGAGCACTAATGGTCGCTTTCACGGCCGCCGGGGCACAGGCGGGGCCGGTGCAGTTGTGCCAGCCCGGCGGTGACGGTGATAGTGGCGGTCCCGGTCCTGTCCCTCAGCGCCGCCCCGAGCGCCGCATTTCGCGCCCTTTCCACCGCTCCGCGCGCAGCCAATCAGGCCCGGGGGGACGGGCACTCGGCTCCGCAGCGTCCTCTTATAGGCTCCTTCAGCCGCGGGGGGCGGGGCCGGGCAGAGCCGGACGCGTCTGATTGGGTCTGGCGCTTCCGCCTTATCCCCGCCGTCGGATTTCAGCGGCGCGCGCAGCAGGCGCGGCGGCGCAGGCGCAGGCGAGTGTTGTTGCTGCGTGCGCGTGCCCGGCTCTGTTTATTGTTGTGGTTCCACGGCGCCCGGCCCCGCCCCTCCGGCCAACCAGGTTGGCGAGCAGGATGAGCGACAGGCGGGACAGCCAATAGCGCCGCGCGGAGGGAGTGGGGCCGACCACCCTTCGGGCCGCCATGTTGGGCTGGTCGGGCCGGCGGCCGGCGCTGCCCCTGGGCCCGCGGGAGCGCGCGATGGAGCCCCCGGTGACCCTCCGCGTCTCCTGCCGCGGCGACACCCGCAGCTTCATCGTGTCGGACCCGGCGCACACGACGTGGGCCGATGTGGAGGCCATGGTGAGCGCGGCCCGGCCGCGGGAGGTGGGGAAGGGGGGGTTCCAGCCGCGGCGAGCCGCCTCTGTGAGATGTTGACTGTGCCAGCGGCTCTCCGGGGGCCCGGCATCTTCTTCTGCGCCTTTCAAAACCCTGTCCCCCGTTTCCCAGGCTCTCAGCACTGGTGGTTCGTACTGCTGCAATCTCGGGTTTTCTTTTAGCCTTTGACTCCTGCTGTGTGCTTAGAGTGACCTGAAAAACCTGTTTCGGAAAAAGATTCTTATGGGTCCTTTTTTTTTCCTGTGAGAGCAGGTGGCCTTAGTTGTGTTCTTTGCCCATTTCCACAGGTACGGACGGTTGGTTTTGCCCTCGTCCCCCTCTGTAAAGTACACTCTGTTCCTCTTATCTGCCATTCTTTTACTCATTGAAGTAGTTATGGTGAAGTGACGCGTGTCTGTTGCTTTTCTGAGGATGCGTCTGTGCTTTCTGGGGTACCGAATCACTGATACGTTTTTGACCCCTTGCTTCCAGGAGCTCTGTGTGTGCCAGTTTGGGCAGAACAGTGTCTGACTGGGTCATGTGTGGGTAGACAGTTGCTTATGAAGGTCTGTATATGCTCTTGGTATAGTCAAAAGTTTTTGTTTGGATGCTTGCTTTTACGCCTATTTTGTGAAAATTCCTGACTGAGGCTAAAATTGTGTTGTAAGCACTCCCTTGGCTGTTATTAAGCTAATGTGATTTTTTTTTTTAAATTATTATTCCTTCTGTAACAACTGTTCTGGTTTTTTAGCTTACTTTTAAAGTTGTACCTTAAGAGGTCTTGTTACTATTTTATTTTGTCTTCTAGCTATCATTTTCCAGAGTACAGGAGGCTCTTGCTTTGTGAATTACTCAAGTTCAAAGCTTGAAATGTAGCATCTTCACTTGTGTTTCAGCCCTCTGGAAGAGGCACTAGTTCAGTCTTAAAATACTTAGTGGCAAGTAGACCCTGCAGGAGTGTCTGAGCTAGTCAGAATCCTGCTTGCATCAAAAGCTGGAAGCAGATTAGTGTGTAAGCACCGTGTTGCCCTTAATCTTAGGTAGTCTGAGAGCGAGGGTGTGTTTGTTCAAGGTGTGGTGTTCTATTACAGTAATGCTTCCCTAACCAGGGTAATACCATGGGTTCTCTGCTGTGTGAATTACTGTTTGAAGAGAGTATCAGTTAAACTCTGTCTTTCCTACGTTTTAATATTTTATTGAATGTGTTTCTAAGGGATAACCCGATCTCTCATTCTAGTTTGAGTTTTAGGGGAACAGTCTGTGGTACTACACAGTGTAGGTACAGACCACAGTTTCTTCTTGATAAGCTGAGTCTGTTCTGTCACTGCAGTCCCAAAATTTGGGATATGTTGCTGGAAGAGCCTGCCTGTAGCATGTCCATTGCAGAATGTGTATGGCTGTGTCCCTGTGCTCCAGTGGTGCTGTGTAAGTCCCAACAGCCTCTGTCAACTGAGGTGTTCTGTTAGATCTGGGCTGGCAGAACGTGTCAAGTCTTTCAGAGAGTTTCTGCTGGGGAAGATACAGCTTGTGTAGGTACCTGCTACAAACTGTCCAGGAGACTTGCTCAGCATATGGAAACATCTGCCTTCATTTATGGTTCATTTGGTGCTGTTCACTCTGCCCTGTTAATGTAAAATGCAAAATAGCTGCTCAACTTTGTCCTCCAAATTCTGATAGGCTAAAAAAAGGCTGATCACCTGTGTGAGCTGCATTCCAGGTGCTTTTCAATGTAAAAGGTAGTGTTTGGGGACTGTTGGCCTTAGCCTTCACATTTGGCAGTGTTTACTATGACTGAGTTTATTAACCCTGAGCTTGTCGTCTCAGAATGGGAAGGTTATTATTATTTGTTTTGGAGTAAACATTAACTAGGGAAGGTGCAACAAGAAAGAAATGAATTTATTCTTTTCATTAGGGAAAGTTAGTAATGGTTGGAGGAAAGGCACTGGGGAGAGTGATTCAACTTCAGAGGAATGGATTTTGTAAAACAGTCTTTACTTCAGTTGGGAAACTGAAGGGAGGGGTGGGAGGGTTATAATATTACTCCCAATTAATAATCATGTTTAACTGAGGACACCTGTAGTCCTGTCTCATTGTGGTTTTATGTTTGGTTTTTTTTCATTACAGGTTAAAGTTTCATTTGACCTGGACAACATTCAGATCAAATACATTGATGAGGACAATGATGAGGTAAAATACCTACCACCCTACCCTCCCAACAGGTCAACCAGAAAATGACTGCTGGGAACCTTTCTGCCTCACAGTAATTTGTAGTGGGTCCTTCAGGAGCATCTGTTATGCAGATCAGGGGATGGGGGTGGTTTGTCCCTTTAATAAGAAAATAGCTGTTAGTCTGGTGGTTTTACTCTTAATGCAGCATACATATTTTAAAATAATACTTTTTTAGAAACTGCTGCCTTTCTTTTTCCCACCCCATTGAAACAGCCAGTGGTTCTGTGTGCTCTGAGGGAGGGATGTTTCTGTTGAGGAACTTGATTTTTCTTTTTATGAGAATAAGAGAGTTGTAACTACTGGTGTTTGCAGCCATGGTAAAGCCCTGTCTCTTCAATCTACACTCCTTCCTCTGGAAAATGTAGGTCCCCTGTCATTAGCATATGTTTGCTTCAGTGATCTGGTGTACTCAAATCCTCTGCTTGCTTTATGCAATTGCTGTAATCTCCAAGCAGATTACTGACTCAGAAAACAAATTGGTTACTTTTAGTTGTCCTTGTTGAGTAACTTCCTGCTTGGCACAGCCTCACCCTCTCGTGTTCTTTCTGTTTGTCTAGAGGTTCAGAGGAAAATGTAACTCTTAGACACGGTGAACCTTTTGCAAACCCCATGTTCCACTGCTTAGGTTACAGCTCTACTAAATTGCAGAGATGGAGTCCCTGTAGTTATTTTTTTCCCCCTAAGGGAAATGTCAAGATGGTCCCAGCAACCTTTCAGGGAAAGATTCTTCCCTTATTTTCTAGCTTGTATTTTATATAAATATATAGATGCATCTGTGAAAGTTCTCTTTGAAATACTGGTCAAACTGACTAAACCCTGTTCAGAATCAGGCAATACTGTAGGCATTAAATAGCTTCTTGTATTGGTAACTTCTGTGTGCAGAATGGATAAATGAGTAACTGTATTTGGAGTGGTGTTTTGGAAACTCCAAATGAAAGTACTTTTGTTCTGGAAGTGTGGTAATTTTAAGAGAATTGCAAAAATATGTCTGTGGCTCTCACTCACTGTTATTTTTCTTTGCAGGTCTCTGTGAATAGCAAAGGTGAGCTGCTGCTTTATTGAAGTGAAATCAAGAAACAGACCCCAACTGTTGTTTGTGGTTTTTGGAGAAGCACTTGAGAATGCTTGCTTTTTGGTTTTTGTATTTTCTGTATCATTGGGCATCAAATTCTTCCCAAAGGAAGGAGTTTTTGGTCTGTAGGAACAAATTGGATATGGCTAAATTAATGGAATGTTGCAGATCTTAGCTGTGAGAAGGTGTGCTTGTTGCTGTATATACAATTTTTTTCTTTCAGCAGCACTACTTTAAAAGAATTTACAGAAGGTAATGGAGACTTCTTGTGGTGTAAGACTCCCTAAATACTGTGTGCTAAATTTGTATCTGTTTGAGACAGGGAAAATTCACATTTTTCTCTTTTTCTTTAGAGGAATATGAAGAAGCTCTGAAGGTAAATGCTCTCTTTGACTTTTTCAATATATTCATTGTTCTCCGATGAAAATTGATGTAGCAGAGAAAATACCAGAATTACCTGGCCCATGGAAATCCAGATAGCTCAGTTTTCTAGCTTTGGACAATAGCTTGAATATCTTGGCATCTCTGTTTTCTTTTTGTCTGTTAGTCTTTCCCCATCTTTCCCCTGTTCTCTCTGATGTAGTGCAGTGCTGTATTTTTACAGATTTTGTATGCTGATTGAAAGTGGAAAATGTGGTGTATGTGTGTACTGTTTATTTAGATTGCAGTTAAACAAGGAAATCAACTTCAGATGAATGCCTATGAAAGAAACCCTGCTTGTGGTTTGCAAGTACCTGAAAAAACTGTGACAGAAAAGCTGATGCTTCTGAAAGATGAGAAGAAACCTCTTTTATGCTATTCCATGCTGGCTCAGGGATTACAGGAAGAATTAAAAGATGACAAGGAGCTGACCATTCAGGTAGGAGCTAGAGCTGCATTATGTATTAATTAAAACAAAGAATTAGTAAGTGTAATTCACTTTATGGACTTATTATCCTCTTTACTCATACATCAAAACTGAGTTCAGAGGTTGGTCTCTGTTTTCAGCTACCTGCACCCACTGAAGCTCACCTAATAGTTTGAATTTTCAAGAGGATAGTTTGATGCTGCCTTTAGAAATACAGGTGTTTTAGAAATACAGATGCTTTCATGTTGACCATTCTTAAATATTTTGATAAACAAAGTAATTGGTCTCCTGAAGCCCTCATTGCCTTCTAATAACTTTTGTATACTTGACTACTTTGGATTTGGTGTGTAATTACACTCAAGTGCCAATGAAGCAGAAATCTTTCAGGAAAATGTCAGTGGTTACCTTGTGTTGCTTCTCCACTGTTTTCTGAAGAAATTTAAATTTTTTTTTATAGAGATGCTTGAGAGCTATTTCAGTGGTTAACTTGCTGTATTGAGGATGTTTTTTTCAGCTTTGCATGCTTTTTGTTTGTTTGGTTTGGTTTTTTCCCCCAGCAGAAGTTAAATCAGACACAAACAGGAAGCACAAGTGAAAATCCTCCAGAATGGTTTACAAGCTACTTAGAAACAGTAAGTGCATTGTCTTGCAAGTGTTGGTATTCCTAAAGAAATGCATAAGAAGTTGTGGGTGGAAGAGTTCCTTGTAATACCTAACTCTAGACATCTCAACACAGTTGCTGTCAGCACAGCTTGATCCATGCCCCTGGTGAAAAGTGGATTGTTTGGGTTATGCATTTGATTAGTTTTGAGTGTAGTTTTAAGTTGCTCCCATGATAGAATCCAGAAAGCCCTAGGAACTCCAGACCCCTCATCATGGGAGAGCATGGAATAGGAGTAGTGTTGCTGTTGTAGACTCTTGATTGTCCAGTTTCAGCAGGGCAATAGATATGGTTTCCTGGGATTGAAAGCAGAGCGTTTAATGACCTTGCTTTTCTTGACTGTTCACTTCGCGTAAATACTTCCAGGAAGCCACTGACAATTACCAACAATTAAAATGTGGTTGTTAACTTGTTTTGAATAGCTAATAAACATCACTGAGAAGCAGTTTGATACCATCACTAAGAATTCATTAGCTAACGAGTTCTTGAAACTGAAAGGTTCAGTGTACAGTAGGATGTGCATTTATCTTTAAGCTTTTTTTTCTAGAGTTTCCTTTCTTTCTTTGCCACCTTTTCATGCAAACTAAAGATAGGGGAAGTTCATGGTTATGTCTAAAACATCCCTGATAGACAAATCAGAATTTAATGGTAGAGACTCCAGAAGGGTTTGGGAGTTGTGATAATTGTTTTGGAGATGAGTTTCCTTCCCTTCATGCAAGGTTATGGAAGAAGAACCTTAATATTGTAAGCACAAGTATGTGATTTTTAACTTGCCTTTTTAAAAGCTCTGGGCTGGTATTTTCTAAAATAAAAATCCTCTGGAATGGGATATTTGTTTAATTTCCTGTAGAATGTGCTGGGTGTGTGGGAAGTGGGTTCTGAACTACTGACTTACGGGTTGTGAGACCTGAGAAAACGTAACGCGACTTTTCAAACCGTGCGGGTGGGTCTCACCCATGACCACTTCAATTTCTTTCTAGTTCAGGGAACAAGTGGTTAAGGAGACTGTCGAGAAGCTGGAGCAGAAGCTGTATGAGAAGCTTGTTCATAGCAATCAGCCTGCAGACTTGGCTGAGAGCTCGGCTGCAGCAGCACCTCCCCCTGCGGAGGGCAGCCCCTGTGACTGGTTGATCTCCTGCTGCAACTGCCAGGCCCGGATCGTCGGGGTGCGCTACCAGTGCAGGTACAGTGCCATGGCAGCGTGGGAAACCTGTCCTGGAGGGCCTGTGGGTGAGCCTCAGGAACTGCCTTGGGGTCTCAGACTTCTAGATCTCTAACCAGCAGCCTGCTGTGCCTTTCAGAATGTTAGTATGTAACGTCTCCTGTGGTGACTGGACTTCATCTGCATAAAAGCAAGATTAATACTATTTCGAGCAAAGGTGATAAAGTGAGAGAACTTCTTAACACCTGCTCTATTCACCATCACTCTTTACCTTATTTGCACGTAAGATGCAGTAGTTGTAAAGGAAAATGTTTTGCTCGGTTAACTAAACAAAAAAGCAAACCTTGTAACCACCAGCCTACAGTAATGCTTTGTTTGGCTCTGAGAGTCAATGAAACTAAGGCAGATCATGCTTTTTTTAATGATCTGGCTTGTCAGTTTAATAATATGAAATAGGTATTGATGAATGTCTTAAGTGAGGTGTTTAAAAGTGAGGGTTTTATTCAAGTGAGGCAACTGCTGTAAAGGTAAGTGTTTTGGGACTGGGCAGAAGCAGTGGATGAAATCGTAACAGGGTTTTTCTTTGGATTCTTTTTTTTCTCTTGCTGACAGGAGATGAGAGCCTGTTTTTTATCAGTCCTGTTCCTGTAGGACCATCTGCTTTGCAACCCTGAGTACTTGTTGACTTAGCCTCTGTATTTTCATAAGTATGGTGCTGGCACTGGATTTCAGTAAAATGTTCTATCCTTTGTAGCAACAATTTTAGTCATTTTGCTAAAGGAAGCATCAATTTTTTTCAATGTGTGTTCAAGAAGGAAGTGGGGACTGTGTTGCAGTTTTGCCCAGAAGAGAGAGAATCATCTGGGTATTCCAGATGGCTCCCAATATCGATGTATAAGTTGGACAACCAGGTGCTGTCATTTGGGCACTGCCTACACTGGTAGCGTGACACAGAGTTGTTTCTCTGCAGAAATTCTTTGCCTCTTGGTAACATTCTGTCTCTTCTGCTTTGCAGCCTTTGTCCAGCCTACAATATCTGTGAAGAGTGTGAAGCAGGAACATATGCCCATGATCCAAACCACGTCTTGTTAAAGCTGCGCAGGCCCGTCCTCTGCACTGCTGAGAATTACAGCCCTGCAGAGCTCCCACCACGCCTTCCTGCCACTCTGGAGCAAGTCAGGTAAAAAAAACCCACCTGCCAGTACCTGACAAGATTGTCCTGATAGCAAACGGAAACACCTGTATTGAGGTTGATGTTCAGCTTTTATTTTAGAGAGAACGAGAAATGGTACTCAAACTTTATTGTGTGTAGCTCAAAATAGCTACGTACTTTTAAAGGGCCTAAGTCACAAATCTTTTATTATTTTTAATAATAAAATAGAAAATACAGACTTTTGTGTCATAGATGGATAGCAAACTTTGAAAGCTTGCTTTTTCTTTGAGCACTCTGTATTTGCCTTTGCTCTTTCACTGAGACCATTCAAACTAGTTCCACAAGCAACTCTGAGGATGTTCTTTGGAAATTATTTGGTATCCAGTCTAGAAGCCTGAGACATTTCCTGAAGTGTTCCCTTGAGACTAAGACTCTGCTGACTAAACCTAAATTCTGGCCAATTCAATGTATTGAATTGTGTGTCTTATTCTCTCTGCAGGCTCCAGAAACAGATGGACAAAAGATTTCTGAAGGCAGAGAAGCAAAGATTACGAGCAGAAAAGAAACAGCGAAAAGCAGAGGTCCGAGAGCTCAAAAAGCAGCTAAAATTGCACAGGAAAATTCATCTGTGGAACTCTGTCCATGTATTGGAAACGAGCAGCTCACCTACTCTGAAATCTGAGAGTCTCCAACCTAACACCTTCCTGTAAGAGATGTTGTTAGCTGAGGATCTGGTAGTTGTGCTGTCTGACCTTTTGTGATGAGACCAAGTTAAAGTGGAGGAAGGTTATGAAGTTGCTCATTCAAAGTATGATTTGTCACTGGATCCTGTGAGAATTTTTTATTTGCAAGGTGGAGTGTTTTTAATTGGGAGGAGCTCTCCCAGGAGAAGGAAAAAAGTTACTGATGGTTATTAGCAGAAACTTACTGATTTATCTAGGTTTAGGAGGAAGGGGAGTGCCTAGGATTATATACACATGCATGTGCATACAGCAAAAATGAACCTTGCTGCCAGTTTTTAAGAAGTCTGTATCTTCCTGCTTTATTAAGTGTGTCTGCTTAAGGTCAAGTGCATTCTGTGTACTTATGATGTTCAATGCTCTTTTTTCTTTGTGTGCTCTCAGGCTGAGGTTCATTAGACAGCAGCCTTTGCAGGCAATCACTTTGCATTTCCTATTCCCTTAGGGTTATGAATGTACAGTGTAAAACTTGTATAGTTTTAGTTTCTTTAATTCATCTCTTCTATTTAGGGCATTTAAGAGTCAGATTAACATTAATTGGCAGCTGAACTTCTTCAGTTTTGGTGTATTTTTTGTTGTTTCCTCAATCTCAGGAGTCCTAATCAACCCTTCCAAGCAATAGTCCCAACACTAAGTGCAGTATTTGTGGATGAGAATTTGCCTGATGGCACTCACTTGCAACCAGGAACAAAGTTTATCAAACACTGGCGAATGAAAAATACTGGCAATGTGGAATGGAGCTCAGACACAAAGGTATCTTGCCTATGCTATTACTTTTACACACTAAAGTAGTTCTGGAAGATAATACTTCCATGTGAATTCTCTGTGGGGACCCATTTAGGATTTCCTTTGGCCTGTTGATTCACAAGCTGGGACTTTTGGGACAATGAGCTGTCTAGGAGTTAATTTTTGGCTTTTTCTGTTGTATATTTCAGCTGAAACTTATGTGGGGAAATCTGACCTTGGCATCTTCTGAGAAAAAAGATGTGTTAGTGCCATCCCTTCCATCGGGCCAAGTGGGAACTGTTTCAGTTGAGTTTGTAGCTCCTAATATTGAAGGAACTTACACTTCTCACTGGAGACTGTCACACAAAGGGGAACAGTTTGGGCCAAGGATCTGGTGCAGTATTGTTGTGGATCCCTCTCCAGCTGCTGACTATCCAGAAAGTGATTGGAAGGATTCTGACTCCTGTCAGAAGAGTAACAGTTCCAGCACCAAACAGGCAAGTCACTCACCTGGTATTGGGGAAGTTCTGAATTACCTAGGAGAAGGAGCATTGTGTATTGTTTGGCAGAGTGTTACTAACTATTTGAGGGGATTCTTTTAGTTGTTTCCTTTTAAATTCTATTTTTAATAGGAAAGAAATGCAAGATATATTGCATTTATAAGTTCTAAAATGGTTATTCTTTTTGACAGGCATGAGATTAGTTATCAGTCTGCTTTAGCTATTTGTCTAGTTCTTTGAACTGAAACACTGCAGAATTTCTCTTTCTTAGATCTTGTCCTTTTGGCCTCTAAGATGAGTTATTTTAAATCTCTTTCAAGTTACTTGAGTGCTTACAAAAATTCGGGCTTTACATTGTATCTACTATTTTATTTACTGTCTGCCTAAGGGGCTTCTGGGACACTGTTTTTTTGTTTTTGCAGGATGCTTCCTTAAAAACAGAAGCAGGTGCTCAACTGATGGGTGAGATCACAGAGCAGGCTGAAGTATCTCTGCCAACTATTCCTTTAAAGATCAAAAATCTGCCCAGTGAGAGAGAATTTTACATCCCGTCTGTTGATCTCCTCACTGCACAGGTAAAGTGCTGAAATTCAGACAGAGATAAAGCAAACCATCTCGGGTTTGATGTCTAGGTATGTAGACATCCATAAGAATAAAGCTTCTGAGCTCTGAACTGGCCACTCTACTTTCAGACAGAGTGTATTGCATTATATATGGCAGAGCTGTTTTCTTCTGTTTGGTATCAGGGACTGTCACTATGTGGAAGGTATGTGCAGGACAGATTAAGATTCTCAAAAAAGAGTCAGCTTTGGCTCTTTCTCTGGCCCCTAACAAGGGAATTCTTAACTTTGTCTCTCACTGCCTTGATTTGTGCACCACATCCTATGACATGGGTGTATGTTGTGGGAAAAGTGCCCTCTGAGGAACAAAATGTTATTTGAACCAAGTGGGATCTGTGCTGCCAAGTACAGATATGATTCCATTTTAGGGTTTGCTGATGAAAACTTGTGTGGTGTTTCTTCATGTAGGATTTGCTGTCCTTTGAGCTGTTGGACATTAATATTGTGCAGGAATTGGAGCGAGTGCCACACAATACTCCTGTTGGTAAGGCTCTTGTTCTGTCTTGAGTACAGCCAGCTATCCTTTGCATTTTTCAGTATTGGCTTCTTTTCACCTTCATATCCCCAAGACCATAACATTGCAGATGTTGAAGAATGCTGCCACTTTCTTTGCACAACCAGTGGCAGTGTTATGCAAAGTTAGTTGTTTATTTCACCAAATTATCTTGCAAAATAACTGAGTTTCTTCAGTCCCTTAAAAAGAATAACTTCTTAAAATGTTAACACCTGGAGGCTCCTACTCCCTTAGTGCCAATTATCTTTGCTCCCTGTGTTTTTCAGACATGACTCCATGCATGTCCCCTTTGCCACATGACAGCCCCTTGCTGGAGAAACCTGGCTTAGGTCAGATAGAGGAGGAGAATGAGGGGAGTGGATTTAAACTAGTTCCTGGTAAGCAGTAGTCCTGGGGAGCTTGGGGGTGAAGGGAGGATATTGTCACTTCTGTGTAGTCAACAGACCTGATGTCTGAAAAGAATTCTAACTACTGTCTTTTCTTTCTTTGGAAAAACAAATGATTGTTTGGCTCATGAACCTGTAGCCTGATGCTACTCTCCTGAATGTAGAGGTTGGAGCATAATATATTTAGATTCAGAAATACAACCCATAGAATCACAGAATGGTTTGGGTTGGAAGGGACCTTAAAGATCATCCAGTTCTAACCACCCCCCTGCCACGGGCAGGGACACCTTCCACCAGCCCAGGTTGCTCTTGGCCCTGTCCAACCTGGCCTTGGACACTTCCAGGGATGGGGCAGCCACAGCTTCTCTGGGCAACCTGTGCCAGGGCCTCATGACCCTCACAGGGAAGAACTTCTGCCTAATATCTAATCTAAATGTACCCTCCTTGAGTTTAAAGCCATTTCCTGTTGTTCTATTACTGCATGCCCTTGTAAAAAGTCCTTTCAAATGCTTTTCTTAATTTGTCTAGAATTAATTTGCCACTAGAATTGTTGGGAGAGTTAACAATTTGCCCTTTATAGATTAGGCTGTACTCAAAACACTCCAGGTGTGGCCCCCTGTGCTTCTCAATCACTTTGATGTTCAACTTGAACTGAATTAAAAAATCTTTCCATTTTTAGGAAGAATTAACACGCAGAGTCAATATTAGCCATGGTTAGCCTAAAAAATTGTTCTTATAGTTACATTGCCTTGTGGTGGTAGTAAAATCTATTACATTTCCCTTCCCAAGGAGTGGCAGAAGACTGCCTTCCTGTGGACTCTCCCCTGGTGAAGGTGAAAGCTGAGCATGCATTGAACCAGGAGGAAGGGGAAGAAGATATGAGTGGGACTCAGTTTGTCTGTGAAACTGTGATTCGATCTCTGACCCTGGATGCTGCACCTGACCACAAGCCTCCACAAAAAAAAAATAAAATCCTTCAGAGTAAGTTCTGTCAGCTGCCTTCTCTGGTTTGACTTGTTTGGAGTCAGACATGGGACACAGATTGCTCAGCTCAGGTGGTGATAACATTAAATTGTTTTTCCTGATTGTTTTATTAGACTCTTTACAAACATTGCAAGACTCCTTCAGTTGCAATATGATAAATGAAGAATCTTCTGTGATAAATACTAATTCCACTTCCAAAAAGGAAGCAAAGATTCATCAGTCAGAGCTAATTACGGAAAATTACTGCGGTAAGTAAAATAGATTTGAATTTAAGATGAAGCTGTAATAATAAGGGCTACAAAAAAAAAAAGGTGTAAAACCATCTGGCTGTTCCAGGAAATTGATCCTAATTACACAAAGAGAATAATTACATCAGAAAATTGGTGTCAGTACTCTGAACAAGCACCTAATTGAACAGCTGCTTTTCTAAAAAATGAAACTGAGGCATAAAGGTTCCATAAATAAGTGCTCATATGTTAGGCATGACTGGTGGCTCCATATTCTGTACATGTAGCTTGAAGTCAGTACATATAACTGTCTCTGACCTGTTTCTAATGTATGTAATTTAGGTGCTGAAAACTTTTTTTAAGTTCCCTGTATAGCTCTTATTCCTGTTTTTATTTTAAGCATTAATATCAGCAGTGTATTTGTATTTATATAGGCTTAACACTAAGATCACTTACTCTTTCACACTATACCCTCCCCCCAACAGACAAAGCAAATTATACCATTAATAGCATCAGCCAAGATTTACAGTTGTTTCTAAGTACTTGTCTCTTACAGCTGTGACAATGCTGTCTCTGTTGTCCATACAAAATGGGTGATGCTAATACCTCACTTTTTTTCCTTAGGGAAGGAAGGGGACCTTCCACCATCTGCTGAGAGCACGAGCCCTTGTAGTGGTACTGACAATTGTGAGGAAGAGGAAGATAAAGATGATGTTCAGAGTCAAGGCTCCTCTGCTTCATCAGAGGATTATATCATTATTCTCCCTGAGTGCTTTGACACAAGTCGGCCTTTAGGCGAGTCCATGTATAGTTCAGCTCTTTCTCAGCCCAGTTTGGAAAAGACAGGAGAACTTGAAGCAGGAGCAGAAAGCCCTGAAGTGGGAAGCCAGCCACAGATCCACAGGGTCAGTGACATTTTGTCAACTTCCCAAACGCTGGCTGCAGTACCACTGACCCCAGAGACTGTGGACACCTCACCCCAGACACAAAGGTATGCTTTGGGCACAAGAATGACATGAGGATGCTGGTGTTGGTGTAGAGTCTGCAGGGTCTTGTGCTTAAGTTCAGTGTCCAAACAGAATTGTTGTAACAAAAGTCTTGTCTTATACTGAGGTGAATGTCCTTAAATTCTGCAACTTTTTAACTCACTGACTTAAGTAGTGCAAGACAGGGAGAGAAGGGACCATGTGAAGTTTTTTTCTTTTATCTGTTGATCTGGACTTACCTGTGTATGTACATGTAGAATAAAAGTAGTAAAAGTAATTTTCTCTGCTTTATGTTTTCAGGAATCTTGCACCTCTTCAGGATCATATCTTCCAGGAACTAAACATATCAGCTTCAGAGAATATCTCTTCTGCTCCTCATAATCAAATACGAAGAGAAGGTATTGACAGTACTTAATAAAGAGTGCATCCTATTGCTGTCACCTGTTCCTTATGCCTAGTACTGAATTTGATGTCTTGTTATGCTGAGTCCCACTCCTTTCCATTTATGTATATAAGCTGCATCTCTCCAGCTTCTCATTAACTGGACCTGTTGACATTTTTGATTCCTTTTCCAGAACCCAGTGGTGAAGACAGTCATGGTCCAGGATCTTCTGAATTTCCCCCTAGTAAACAGAAGTTCTCAGAATACCCAAGGTAATGATGCTGAAGCTGTGACTGTTTTAAACTGAGTACTGCTAAATTAGCACCCAGGAAAAAGCACTGGCTTACAGACTTCACGTAGACATTAGTTTGGAGAAAGGCCTCCCTTCTTAAAGGAAATATGCTGAATTTTATAATGCTGTGTTTTTATAAGATTTTGGCTTCTACTTGGACGCAGATCTACAGGATCTGGCAAGAAAATGGGCAAGCAAAAGTTTATGAAAAGCTCAAGCTGAATCCTTCTAAATTTCTGTGGGGTTTGTTTTCTGGAAAATCTCAGGATTCTTAAAATGGTGATTTGCAAGTTAGCTATAAAATTAAGTGTCTTCAGATACCGAGACTGGAGGAATAAGGCAAAACATTGAGCAGAATATTAAGTGACTTAGAATTTATGGAAAACAAATGAAAGTTACTCTGGCCTGAATGGATGTGTCAGTGCACAGCTTTCACACATGGGTGTTCTCTTCTAGGTGAGAACACTTAACTCTTTACAAAAGGTCACTTTATGGAAAGCATAAAGCCACAAAGGAATGAGCTTCCTGCATAGCTCAGTTCCCAAACAGTGCTGATTCCTGTGGATCAGGGGCTGTTCTCTCCAACAGCTGGCACATCAACAGGCACAGATTTGCATTTTGCTGAAACAAACTGACCCTAAAGTAAGACCTGGCCTCTCCACAGGTACCCTCAAGGGAGCAGCATTGCAGGAGAACTTGTCAAAGGAGCTTTGTCTGTTGCTGCTTCTGCCTACAAGGCATTATTTGCTGGACCTCCCATTATTGAGCAGGTAAATGTCTTTCCTGTATGCTATGAGATTATTCATAGAGTCACAACCTTAAATTTATAGCTGTGCATTATAAATGTACAATATTCAATATAGGACTTCACGTAAGGGTAGAATATTAAGCTTGATGGCATCCCTCTGAGGTATGTTGTGCCCAGCAGACTGGGAAATCCATGCCATGAGGATGGAAGCATTTCTCTTGTAGCATCATGTAAGAGTAGTAACTCACCTTTGTAAGTGAGCAGTGAAAGGGAATATAAATGGCTTAATTGGGGCCCAAAGGGTCTCTGTGCCTCAATTCTATTCCAGTATAATAAATTATCTTTTTTCAGCTGATTTTACTATCTTTTGTTTTCAGCAACCTGCAGCTACAGAAGAGCAGACTGCCACTCTGCTGTCCAGCCTGTGTGAGATGGGATTCTGTGACAGGCAGTTAAACCTGAGGCTGCTGAAGAAACACAACAATAATATGATTCAAGTGGTAACTGAATTACTTCAGATCAGTAACAGTGACTGGTACAGCAGTAGATGCTGAACCTGCCTGGTGGAGGGAGGAATCATCTTCATTGAGTAAACTCTCATTAAACACTACAACAGGAGAGGGCTGCTCCTCAGCTGCTTTCTGTTTGGAGGTGTGATTAAAACTTTGGCTTTTCTTTGAGGTTTTGACTCTTTTTTTTTTCTCAAGGAAATGTCAAACAGCCCTTGTCATGGCATCTCTTGAACTGGACACCAGAATTTCAATTGTAATTTGAACCTCATAGTTAAATGGATAGTCTTTAAGTCTCTAATTTCAGACCGAATCCTTTTATCAGGGAATCCTGTAGAACTAAACTTGCACCCAGATGAGAGCTTCCCCTTTTACTGTTTGTAAAATCTTTTTTTAGGCAGCTGGACATTTTTGTTGACTTTTGACTAGCTTTGGAATAGGAATAAGTGTAAAATACTGTTGCAAAACGTAGTCCTGACGAATATACAAGAGATGCCCAAAACTAGCAAGTTGTTTCTTCTGATGATTTAGTAATTGGTTTTCCAATGCATGATGGTATTGTAACAGACTTAAACCTTACAAATTATTCTAAGAAAAAGAAGTTATTCATAGACAAAAGCCATCTTGAATCTAGTCTAAAAGTGTAACTGCAGTTATACTGATGAATACCAGGGAAGTTGTTGTTTGTTGTAGCAGAAAGAAGCAGGAGAGTGAATTTACCACCAGCAATTGAACCAGCTCTAGTAATGATAGTGCAAACCAGATCTCTAACAGAAAAGTATAACCTACATAAAGTATTTTGTTAAAAATGGAGTGCAAGGGTAGTAAAGGCCTTTCTAAGAATCTTTACAGACTCTTTATAAAAATATTAAAAATATGACCTTTATCTTTTTTTCAGTATAGTGCAAATGTCTTACTCTGTTAATACCACATAGAAAGTTCAAGAATGTGTAGAAACCCAGACCTGAATTGGAGTACAAATTCTGGTAATGTTTAGTAATGGGAAGAGTGCTTGAGGCAGGGATTGGGTAACTTTATACTTTAGAGTTTGAAAAATGCATTAACTTAAGCACTTTCAAGTGTACAGTCTCCTCTGATGGTTCTAGCTGCTTCTGTGTTTCCATAGCCACATTTGTAGGATCCAATTTTCTTGTAAGGATTTTGTTTTAGATGCCCATATTTAATCTGGAAATCTAAGAATTCCCTTATAAATGTGCTGAGAGAGATTTGATTCTGAAGAATCACAAGAAATGAGCACCAGACACTGCTGTGCAGTGGGGTATCCATAGATAATTCCTCAGAGTTGAGTCCCTCTGTAGGTGACAGTGTAGGAGACCATTGATCCTAAAATACTTTATATTGCCCCTGCTTCAAACTAAAGTGTTCTGTTTTGTCACAATGTAGCTGAAGTGGTGTCAGTATTGTGACTGACCACGTTATCAGTAGGAATTTTTTAAAAGACTTAGTACCCATAGAGAGACCATTAAAATACTTCAAGAAAACAAATGTATGTATCATACCACTTTTGTTTTAAACCTATTTTTATAGATTGTGGAAGATACACTCTTAAATGTTTATTTTGAAATACAGTAGAACTATTTTGCAGTGTTTCCCATCTCTGTACATCGGTACAACTGTGTGCTGTGGACCAGTTAAAAGATCCTTCTGTAACTTTCCCCACTTTAACTTGGATGTGCTGTTTTGAGTATATTTTGACTAATGCCAGCTCTAGAACGAGGAGGAGGAAAGGACAGGGATGCAATGCAGAAGCTGGTGACACTTTGAAGTGTAGTGTGGTTATTTGCTTGGATCTGTCAGGCTCAGCAGGACCCATGTTCTCTCTGTGTGTACCTTCGTAATTGGAATGTTAATGTGTCTATAAATTAACAGAACTAAAACATCCTGAGGAGGAACACTTTTATTGCAGATTGAAATGTCAAGCGTGAGATGCTGTTCCCTTTAGGTTACTTTTTACTAGGGTTTAGATGCTGTATGCTCAGGCTTAAGATATATTTCTGTCAGCTTTGTATATTTTGTTAATGGATGCATGGTATAATTTATAATACATTCTATAGAGCACATGTGGCCTCTGCATCTTATTTCGGGCGAGCACTTCACGGGTGGCCGTGACTGGGGGGCTGGGGTGGGGGTCCTCCGCCTGCTCTCCCTGCCGAGAGCACATGCCCTGGGCCACCGCGGGGTTGGTTCGGCTCGGGGGGAGCCCGAGGGGCAACCGGGGGCAGGAGCCGGGCCCGCGCTGAGACTTCTCATAGGGTAACGGCCCCGGGGGGAGCTCCCACCGCTGTCCTGCTCTGGCCCCACACGTGGCTCCCAAACAACAATCGAGGTCCCTTCAAGCTCACCGTTCGCTGGGGGGGGGGGAGGGAGGGAAAGCACCTTTCCGGCTGCGTTAAGGAAAAAGCCTTGACGCGACCGCGCCCCAGCCCCGCTGCTTCGGCCGGGCTGGCAGTCCGTTAAGCCCTCCTGCCCAGCAAATCCCTCCCGTGCCCGTGCGGGATGTCCCGCCGGGGCCGGGCAGGTCCCGCCGCCATGTCCCGGCCGTGTCTCCGCCCCGCCGGCTCCGCCCCCGGTACGTCACGTTACGTCACGACGCCGCTTCCGCCGCGCCCCGGAAGCGGCCGGGCCGGGCTGGGCGGGGCGCTATGGCGGAGGTGGTGGCGGCCGAGGAGCTCGCCAAGCTCGAGTACCTGTCGCTGGTCTCCAAGGTCTGCACCGAGCTCGACAATCACCTGGGCATCAACGACAAGGACCTGGGTAAGTGCGGTGGGCGCGGCTTTTGGGGCGCTCCCGGGCGTGGCGGCCGGTGTGTGGCGCGTTCCCGGCCCGGCGGCAGCTCGGGGAGGGCTGTTGTAGCCCTGTTTCCGTGGGCCCGGACGCGTTTTGCGAAGGGGCTTTTCGATTTCAGACGATAAATTTTGCTTCAAAAAAAACTTGTGAGCCTGAGGAAGTGCTTCGGTCTGGGCTCCCGGGGAGGGGGGCTGAGGGGCAGCTCCCTCCGGACAGTGCCGCAGCAGAGCGGCCTGGCTGGTCCCAGAGCAGCTTCTGGCCCTTACACTGCCTTTTACTTATTTTAATTTACTTAATGCTTTTTCCTCGCAGCCGAGTTTGTGATAAGCCTTGCTGAGAAAAATACTACGTTTGACACATTTAAGGCAATTCTACTAAAGAATGGTGCCGAGTTCACTGTAAGTGAGACCTGAACCCTGTGTTTTCCTTGTCCTAGTATATTTTATAGAGATTTTTATTTTAAAGAGAGAGTTATGAGGAGTGATTATGAGTTTTCTTCAATTGGAAAACTATGTACTAATTAGCTTCTGAGTATTCCTGTCTCATCAGCCCAAGTCTCCGTGTCCCTCCTTTTTTAAAAACTTTTGTAGTCTTTGAAAAGCATCCTCCTGAGGACTTGAACTGCTTATTGTCACACTGAGCATATAAAACATGGAAGAAGCAACTTTTGATGAAGGCAGGTGTCATAAGTCTTCCTGTGATGCTTAGATGCTTTGTTTATCACTTCTTCAGATGTAACTGTAGTTGAATTAAATAAGTGATTAAAAATTACAAGCAGAAAAGTCACTCAAATGGAACTTGTCATAATTATTTTCAGGTTCAATTTATTACACCCTTTCAGGATGTACACGAAGTCCAGTGATACTTTCTAAAAAGCAACTTGCATCTTTTTTTTTTGTCCTGATAATAAATCCCCACCTGTGCCTTCTAATAACGAAAAACAGCGTTGCAGTAATTTCTTACACTATTTTGTTATTGTTTTCAGGATTCCCTCATTAGTAACTTGCTCCGTCTTATACAGACGATGCGGCCCCCACCAAAACCATCCACGAGCAAAGGTATGCAGAGCCAGTGGTTCAGTGTTTGGTGAGATTGAGGTAGTCACTGTTCCAGTCTTGTAAAGCAAATCTTATTGTTTCAATGTGCATCCTACTGCTGTTATTCTGAGTATAACGCTTAGAGTTTTTGTCTTTCTCATATTCACTAATAATCGGAATTTTATTTGTGGTACTCCTTGAATTGAATGTCTGTAAAAACTGTGTGAACCTTTGCATTTAGATGAAAATTGAACTTTAAATTCAATTACAGAAAAGTCAAGAATCAATTGTTCTAAGTTTTGAGTTTCATTGCTTGTTTTTGTTGTTTGTTTTTTTTGTTGTTGTTGTTGTTTTAAATCTCAAAATCAGAGCCGATCGTCAAACCCAAATCCGAGAAAGAAAAGTTGAGGGAATTGTATCCAGCTCTTTGCAGGCCAGACAATCCCAACATCAGGGTAAGGTCATCATTTCAGATTTCTTTTGTGATTATGTGAAAACTTAGAGGAGTTTTTATTTAATTTTTTTTCAGTTAATTTCAATCTTTTTTTCATATTAGTATGAGTGTCTCCTGCTAATGCATGGACAAAAGTGAACTGTAAGAAATGAAATGTGGAAGAGGCAGAAGGCTGGTGTTACTGCACATTGTTCAAGGAGTAGCTGTTACAGCAATTGCCATGCTGATACTGTTTTACAGACTATCTGGAATATGAGACTCTTGTGACATGCACTTTGTAACCTGGCATTTCTTACACGAATTCAAAGGAGTGATGGGTTACAAACTAGTTAAGAATTTTGGATATTCAGATGCTGTTGAGGGACTTGCATTTTGCATTTCTGTAATAACTCGAGGCATTAAGATGGAGCTCTCTTTTGTATAAAAGCAGAATTATCTCAATATCGTGGTGAATGGAGGAGAGCTTTATTACTTTTTTTTTTTTATATCACATGTTGTGTCTGATCTCTTTTTATCTCTCTTTCTTTCTAAATAGATACACATGTGATTATCCTTTCTGTATTCTATCCTTAATGATAAAAAGGCTTTTTATCAGCCTTTTTACAGAGCAATTTTCTGTTCTTGCAGACTATGCTGGATGAAGATGATGTGAAAGTGGCAGCTGATGCCTTGAAAGAGCTCGAAGCTCTGATGCCTACTGCAGACAGGCAGGGCAAGCAAAGGGGCAGCGACCACCGGTACGTGTCTGGTGTGGCTGGGGAAGGGTCTTGGCCCCTGGCACTGCCTGCTCGCTCTTTCCTGAGGGGGGATTTCACTGCAAAAGGGTCATGTCTGTTTGTTAGGGTGAAGAAAAGGAAGAGGAGCCGAAGCCGTAGCAGGGACAGGAAGCGAAGGCACAGATCTCGCTCTAGGTCTCGTTCCAGAACTTGGGAGAGGAACAGGGGAAAATCCAGATATCGGTCAAGGAGCAGGAGCCGCAGCCTCAGCAGGGACCGTAAGGATCGAGAAAAGTACATCGAGAGGAGCCATGAGAAGTGGAGGGACAAGCACATCGACCGTCCACCGCCTGAGGAGCCTTCCATCGGAGACATTTACAATGGCAAAGTCACCAGCATAATGCAGTTTGGATGCTTTGTGCAGCTGGAAGGACTAAGGTACCTTCTGATGTTCGTGATAGAGCTGGTACTATTCCATCTGAGTTCTCTTTTCTGCTAGTAACTTAAAGAGGGCATGAGGCTGCCAGAAGGTACGCTGGACTTTGACACCAAAATGAAAGACCGTTTCAGAAAAATAAATTTGACAGCGAAAAATTATAAAATTCTCGTTAAAAGAGACAGTTTGTGAACATACACAGTTGACAGCAAAATATTGACAGCAAGTCTAGATTTTGAATGGTCTGAAGGACTGTCAGAGTAATAACATGCAGTGTCTCAAGTCTTCCTGTTTCACCCCCAGGAAGCGTTGGGAGGGCTTAGTCCACATCTCAGAGCTGCGAAGAGAGGGACGGGTTGCCAATGTTGCTGATGTTGTGAGCAAGGGACAAAGAGTGAAGGTCAAAGTGTTATCTTTTACTGGATCCAAAACCAGCTTGAGCATGAAGGTATGGACGTGCCAAAATTTTTAAAATTATGCGTATTTTTGCTATTTTTTACTCTTTTTACTGGAAACTAATACATAACTGTTCAAGTGGGAATTAGAAACCGAGATACTGTTCTGTGTTTAAGTGGCCTATTACTTTACTCATTTGCTCTAAGTTCCTGGTTTTGATGTAATGTTCCTAACAATTGTTTGGCTTGATGTGATAGCTAAGAGGCAGGGCAAACCTCAAGCTGTTGCTGTTTGTCTTCCTTTTTCAGTAGGAGATAAGCTTCTCATTTTAAATTAAATCACCACTGTTGCCAGGGCAGAGTAGAGTGTTCCAGGCCTGGGGATACCTGGCAATGCCAGCTGAAAAAAATAAAAAGCCTGCAAACCAACATTTTCTGTGAATGGCCTGTTATTGGCATTATGGAGCACCTAATAATAGCTAAGGAGAAGTGCAGTATAGGTAGAACTGATTTGATTAATCAATCTAATGTAGGATGTTGATCAAGACACTGGGGAAGACTTGAACCCAAACAGGAGAAGGAACCTGGTTGGAGAAACCAATGAGGAAAGCTCCATGAGAAACCCAGACAGACCCAGTCACCTGTCCCTGGTGAACGCCCCGGAGGTGGAGGACGACAGCCTGGAGCGGAAACGCCTCACCCGGATTTCAGACCCAGAGAAGTGGGAAATAAAACAGGTGTGTGTTGCATTCAGGGAAAATAGGATGTCAGTCAGTAAAATTGCCAGGGTGTTTCATGAACTAGGATGCAGCTTCTGGATTGGTTGATTGTTTGTGTAACTTACACCTCACCTCTGAATTGCTGTCTTCTGATTTGGGACTTTTAGCTTAGTTCCAGCTATGAAATGAGCCCTGCTTGGAGCAGAAGGTTGGACTCCATATGTCACTGTGACCTGTGGGATTGGGATCTTCATCCATTGACACTTAGGCTGTGTTGCATTGTCAGTACAGTCCCACATAAGCCATCTGCTTCACACAGGTGCTATTTGGAATAAAAAAAGGAGTGTTTGGTCAGAGGCTGGATGACTCGGGGAGAAGTGTGCCAGAATGTAGGACCTTTCCTTTGTTCCTGTTTTATGGGGATAGTGTTAGAACTGAGTTGTAGGTGTGAGTTATGTTTATTCGTGGAGACAAATTCATATTGTATTCATTCTGTTCCCAGATGATTGCAGCTAA